ATGGGGAGCGAAGGGTTTGTCCCGGAGGCCGGGTTTTCCTTCGCGCAAGTCGATGTCGGGCCGTGGTTCAACGCGCAGTGAGAATTATGAAGAGGAGTGGATTTTATTTGGGTTTTACCACTATTCACCTCTCGTAATTTTCGGTTGAACGTTCAGCCTACTCAAAGACATTGCATGGTAGTATTCCAAAAGGGAGCGTATCACTTTGCGGTTTTTACATTTCCTGCTACCGTTTATTAGCATGTGACAGCTGACAAATAGCTGTTCATGCTGATGGGGGGATGNGTTGAACGTTCAGCCTACTCAAAGACATTGCATGGTAGTATTCCAAAAGGGAGCGTATCACTTTGCGGTTTTTACATTTCCTGCTACCGTTTATTAGCATGTGACAGCTGACAAATAGCTGTTCATGCTGATGGGGGGATGTTACGGGTACATTGTTACGGTTGATAGGAGTTGCACCTTTGGGAGGATGCGTTATTCCCAACAGGTACTAGCAGTAAGGTCCGGTTTGCCGGGCCCCGTCTAGAGGCTAGGTTGCTCGGTCCCCTTGCCTTCACTTGCTTGACTGCTTCACTACTTCTCCTTGCTTGCCCTGAGTTAGCAATAATCAACAAGCGAATACCGTATCCACGACCGGAGACCTTCCACTCTTTGTCACAAGCCACCTTGAGGCTCACTTCTACCGCTGTTCCGGCTCATCTACTGAACTCGGTACCGATCGAGAGGCAGCTATCATCAGGTCGGTAGCAGTGCTTGTAGGCTGGGGTCCCATGTACAATCCCCTACGGACAATTCATCTTGACACCCAGGGTCCTGTCACTTGAATGATTAGAGACCACACAGACCCACACAGACATTGGGCCAGCCCCTACCCCTAGCCTCTCCATCCGTTATAGTGCTGCTGGTACTTTCCTTACGAACCCACATCAGTCGATGCTGACACCACTGACACCTCAGCCCTTACCCGAACTCACTTGTCTCGTCCGTGTTGATGATGCGGTCCGGCGTGAGCTTGGTCTAGGCGAGTGGTCTACGCGAGGTACGCTTCCCATGTCTCGTAAAAGGCTTCAAGGCGAGGCTCGTCGTCTTCGTTGATTCGGTTTGCTTTGTAGATGTGGGTGGCTCGCTCCGACAACTCCGGGTGCCTCGCCATGAATCCCTCAAGCCAGCTGTCCCCCGGGCCCTTGTCTGGATCCCAGGGCACCTTGCGTCCGTCTTTGTAGATCCTCCGCACAGCTTCTTTCAGCTCCCTCCGACCCAACAGCAAGAAGTGTGGGGAGGCGTGGATCAACACATCTTCTACGAAATCTCCCGCCTCCTTGCACAGGACAGTCCCGGGACCAACCTTCGCATATATGGCCGCCTCCTTCTTCACACGGCGGTGGAGCGAGGTCGGGTTCAACCCGTAGGTGTCCGCAGCAACCCTAAACGANCTCGCATCTATGGCCACCTCCTTCTTCACACGGCGGTGGAGCGAGGTCGGGTTCAACCCGTAGGTGTCCGCAGCAACCCTAAACGACATCTCACCGCTGCGTACTGCATCGACAGCCTTCTGGGCCCGCTCTGGGTCTACTCTCGCCCATTCCATGCTTAGCAGCAGGACCCCAGCAAGGGCAAAGATGGCCCACATCAGGGGTGTGGGTGGGGGTTGTGCTGTTGCTCGGCAGTGCTTGACCCGATCGGCACGCTGAAGTGCTCAAACGAGAGCTAACGGAAAG